CCGTTGGCATCTCGATGACATTTTTTTCGGGGTACTTGCTTCTTTACTAGTAATTTCGCACACAGCGCTGTGCTCCAAATAACGAGAATTATTAATTTGACTAGGTTGACATAGTGTTATTGCTTGTTCCAGGAAGGAAATGTTAATGAACCAGATAAAAAGTAGTTGCGCTATTTAAACTAAATCCCTCAGTTAGTATTATCAGTAACGAGATTATGTATCAGTCAGACCTTAGGTCCCGAAAAAGTCAATCGCCTCTTGTTGACTGGTCTCACAAATACCTATAGTGTCTCAATATCAGTTAGGTTACAGAACGATCTTACAATATCAGTTTGCGCACAACATCAATGGCCTCCGGAACAACAATTGATTTTGAAAGACCTTCACAAAATTCGTCTTGGAGTGATCTACGATCTCAATTGGTTGGATGAACCGCGGGTCCCTAATGAAGCTTCATTCCCAAAAATTGAGTTAATTTGGTCAATGCACTGTTGCTGAGTTGAACAACGCTGACAGTTGTAAAACAAAATCACCCGAGAACGATCTTGAGTTAATTCCTCAGTTTAAATTACTGTAAACTACAGAAATAGCGCTCGAATGTGTAAACGTTCTGAGTTCAGTTCTAGACTAGGATTACCAAAGACCCGAAATATAAAATGCAACTCTCGTATAATAGTGGAAAATTCTATTGAAAAACTGTTCACATATTCATAAGTATTTATATATTTCGATTGTTCGATTATGAACCCCTTCCCTCCTGCCTGCTGTCTCTCTCTCTTTTTCGCTCTCTAAGTATTGCTTAGTAAGCAATTAAGACCTGTTTTCCTGCTGAACTGAAAGTATTGTATTATATTTTTTTATTTTTTTTTGTAATTGCGGCTTATCCGGGTAATTTCGTACAAAAACGTGTGAATAGCATGCATAGCTGTATAATAGATATATACAATAATTAAATCAATTGAATAAATGTATGAGTAATAATTATTTATTGATTCGCAAAAATGTGATATAAATCATGGTAGGAAATGATAATTGACTTGCTTTGAAAATTAGCTAACGTTCGACGATGAAAATCTACAATCTGAATAGTCGCACAAGCAGTTTTCAATCGACTTACACAACAGTTCACTGAGTACATACACCAACAGATCGCGATAAGGCAAAATTGCGACGGCCTCAAGCCCACTGTGCACTGCAGCCACAGAAAAAATTATTTCGGTAAATGTCGAAAAGAGGAAAAGAGCGATCGTACTATGAGAAATTATTAAAAGAGAAAAATTACTAACTCTCTCGCTACGATATTACCCAATTGATAGGTTCAATCCGATAAATTGAAGTCGGTTCAAAAACAATTATTACTTTTTGCGTTAAGACATTTCCAATGGAACTCTTCGATAAATCTTCCTCTCTATACCAACCGTTTAAAGCTTCTGAATCTACTACTCTCGCAAGTCGTAATGAAACTTCTAGACGGATAAATTTGTCGTTCATTGCTCTTATCTGGCTCTTATCTGAGGTAAACTTTAATGTACCTATTCGTATATCTTGGCATTTTAGGCCTTCAGTATTAAAGTCATGTAAAAGAAATTATGAATTTAAGGAACCCCTTCGCCCCCTTCGATCTCACAGACTCATTTTTTAGCATCAAAATAACTATTTTTACTTCTCTCAACTATTAAATTTTAAAAATTTTTAATTACTGTTGAATAAATATCTTCTCTGTAGCTGAATAGATTTTTTAAATCTCGATCTAATTAGCAAATAGAAAAAGAGGCAAGCCGGAAAGTGTGGCTTAGAAGAATGTGAAAATAAATTTTTAGTACTAGAAAACTTAAGAAAACATTATGTGAATTATGGATGGTTTCAAGATCGAAGCGGTTACCCGTCGGAACGAAAAAGTCGTTGCTGTAACTTACGCTCAATACAAAATCACGGTAACACTATATGTAGACGCGCTCGAACCGATAATCGATGACGTCAACCGAACATGCTGAAGCTTGAATAGCGATTGCTCATTTAAAGAAAATCGTTGAGGCGGAAGCTGATGGTTTATCGGATTAGGTATTAGTTTATTTGAAAAATTTGGTAGAATGGAAGTATTTATGACGATAAAGTCTCTGCAATGTCGCCTATTAGGTATTGTGGCCCCTATTGTGGGCAACGAACTGACTGGGCCTTATATTCATAAGTATGGCTACGCACATAAGAAAGACATACTTGCCCAGATATTCGCCATGCCACATCTGCGAGCCATTCGGTACTGAATGAGGGTTTAAACAGAGTAACTTTCTTGAGTGTGACCTCTTAATGCTGGAGAAAATTATACGTAGAGATTAACTAGAGAAGTTAGAAACTTCTAAGGGTGTAGAAATACTGGCGGATACTAAAAGTATTACCATAACCGACCTTAACAGTCGCGCTGTATGTTCTGTTTTCTTCAAGCTAGACAAAGAGCGAAGCGAATTGGTCTCAGCGAGAATAAAACGAAACATCTCCTGTCATCAAATAAATGTCAGTGTTTGCAACAGTATCAGCACCACAAAGAAAATCAGCCTAAAAGTCGAACGCTGAATCACTCTCGCCAAAAATGAAATTACTCCAGCTTTGAAGGTATTCAATGTCATTAACGAATGCAGAGAAAGAAGAAACCTGCACTCGGAAGAATCAGGTGGAGAGTTACCGGGATACACTTGGTGTAGCCGAATGACGCCGAACGGCTTAGAGAAGAAACAATTGGTGCTCTATTGTTGCTTCGATGCATTTCAAGCTTATTTTTCCAGTTCTATACACCAAAAAATATTGTCCAAAGTGTAGATAAAATAATGAAAGTAGACAAGCCTGTACAAAAACCAGTTTGGAACCACTTCAAAAAGGTTGGATACACAAAGAAACTCGATGTATAGGTGGTCCTTAAGTTAACGAGAAAAAATCTCATGAACCGAATTTCCATCTGTGAATCGCTGCTGAATCGTAACAAAATCGACCCAAAATCGAATCGATTTCTGAAGTGGATGGAGCTGAGGTTGAAAAGAGGATAATTTACAGCAACGTCAAATGATTAAACGAAAACGTTCATAGTCGAAGGACAATGTGCTGGCGCACACTATCAGTGAGCAATGATTGACGACCAGGAGGGTTTCGCTGTATGTTTCTTGAAATTGGCAAGAAAACATCTACTATCAGCTGCTCCTTACTGCTAGACTCTTAATTTGAGCATTTACAGTCAGCAATTGAAGGAAATAATTTTTCCGAAGCGCCCATCCTTGGTTGATAAGAAGGGAATTGTGTTTAAGCAGGACAATACCAGACCACACACATCGATATTGATTCGCTGAGGTTTTGAAAGCCTGTTTGGGAGATTCTTTTGTGCCCGCCTGTAGTGCGGTGTGGTGTCAGATCCCAAATGGCAAATAGTTCGACTGTTGAAGAATCGGCTTCAAGGAAAACTTTTGACAATCGATTGTCCCGACTTTGTTTTGCCAAAAGGAACAAGAAAGAGCCATTATGATATTTCATTCAAAATAGCACATAATTATCGGTTTGAGCGGTTCATATTTGGTAAAAATCGTATAATGCTTAACTATGATAAATAAAGCCTTAAATTCAATGCAAAAATAATAGATTACTTTTTACTAGACCTAATATTACTAATATTACCAATTACTTACTCAAAAGTCAACCAAAATTTTCGATTACTGAATAACGGTTTATCTTTAGCGCATAAATGGAAAAATAACCCTAAAATTCTAATGCCAAAAACCGCATTTTATTATTATTATAACTTTGAACATAAGTATGCTTATAACTGTAAAAATATACATATTTTTAAATTAGCATTTATACCCACGCAGTTATATGTTTTATACACTCCTCAGCACATCACATAATGACCGAATTTAAATGTAATATAATAGTACGCTCAGTTTATACATATATTTTTTTATGTATATGCAAATATATGTATGTACATGAAAACTACAGCGCAAAAGTGTATATACGTCGACAAAACCGAATTCTATTGTGTTCTTTTGTAAGAATAATTACACGCTAAAGTGCCAACCGCAATTTGAGCCGCCATCACATTTAACTCAAACGACCTTACATTATCTTACAGTAGTGAGCAGAAATATTGGCGGCAGAAAAAATGAAAGAGGAGAAGAAAAATAAGTAGTAGACGCAATAAGAATTAGTAGCTGTGTACATAGAAAAAACGGTTTTCGCTTTAGGCCAAGATGCTTTGAATGAGAAAAAATTGTAATGAAATTGAACGTCACGACGAACCGTCTACGAGTGCGAAGTTGTTATTACAACAACAAGTATGAAAAATACGAAAAAGAAAAAAAAAATTAAAAAAACTTTTAAAAAATCATTACGTGTACGTCGGCCAAACAATCAACGTGCATAAATTTTGCATAAGTATTCGCAACCACCTTGCATTGTGCGGCTTTTTCGGCACAGCAGACATGCATGCATACATACTTTTTATACGCACAGCTGAGTGTATGCAGTTGCATTTGTTTGTTTACCTTATGCAAATAGTGACGATTTCGCAATACGCATAAATATTGGCAACACACACATTTGTACATACGAATAAATTTTTAAAGTGTGTTACTCATACGCCACGGCGGCTTCAACGCAGAAAATGTTAAGTATTGCAATTTTTTTCAATTGTTTTCGCGAGAAATTAAGCAATAGTCTGGTAGTTAGTAATTTGTAGTGTTTTTATGTGCGGCTTAAAGTATATTAGCAACTTAATTCATACTTACACACACACATATTACATACAAATGTTGTGACATTAATGTTTTATATATGGACAGGAAGTATGTAAAGTAAGCGAATACCGGCTGTTGGTATTGTTTATTTGAAGTGTAGGTGTAAAATTTGAAATTTTCTCAGTTTTTCTCAACTGCTAATTATTTTTATACGGTGTTGGTAAACTGTTTTGTGTTTTGCTTTTGTGTTAATTTCTTTTATATACTTATAAGCAAACTTACCTTTAATGAGGTGTAAATGTAGAAAACAACAACAGCAATTCACTTATAACAGCAACTCAGTTGTTGGTATGCCGGGGACATTGGGCTGTAAATATAGTGAAATTAAAAAAAAATTAACAATAAGTCACTGCGGCATTTTTTAATTAATATTAATAATACTATGTTTTTATATAATTGTAATATGCCCTCGCATGTTAAGCACACATATAGCGCATCAGAGTTCTCACTTTTAATAACATTATATAACAGTACACTCATATTTGAAAGTGAGTTTTCTCACAAATCAACGCCAGGTAGCAATATCACTGCTGTTGATGCAATTATTTGCAATTTATATGCAAAGCTTGTGTTCAGAATTTTTTAAATTCATTTATTATTAATTTTTGTGCATATACGAGTATGTACTTATATATACAATATCATATAAAAATACCTATGGCAAGAAAAAATTCCATATAAGGGGGGACTGCATCATAGTAGCAGTTGAGTTAAAAGTTGTTTTTAGAAGGGGAACAACAATAATTTTCTAGTTGGGCTACTCATCATTTTTAAGCTAAAAATTAGCGGTAAGAGTATGTAATAAGATTATGAATCAACGTCAAAGTTTTACGTAGAAAAAAGGAAAAAAGGGACATAAAATGAAAATTTTGTATAGCTCATATAAGTACTTTAACAAGGTTGTGTATCAAAAATAGTCTTAAAAATCTATCAGAAACGCAAATAAACGAAATTTCTTATTTATACTCTGCTGAGATCGAAATATGTATTTTATTTTATTTTATTTTAATTAATTTTATTTTTTTAAACTGTTTTATATTACATTATTTAACTTTATTTTATTTTATTTTATATCATTTAATTTCATTTTAATATATTTTATTTTATTACATTTTACTTTATTTTATTTTATTTTATTTTATTTTATTTTATTTTATTTTAGTTTATTTTATTTTATTTTATTTTATTTTATTTTATTTTATTTTATTTTATTTTATTTTATTTTAATTTATTTTATTTTATTTTGTTTTATTTTATTTTTTGAAATTAGTTTTTTATTTGAAACTTCATGTATATACTTTAATAATATGTTAATTTAATTGTTACTTTTTATTTTTTTCTATGTTACTCCTAATTAAATTATAATGCTAACAACAAAAATTATTCGATTTGTATTTTTCGTTGTAGCGTCATAAATACAATAATATGCATTTGTGACACTGCGACAAAGTCATATCATGTCAAGTTCCCTTATATGTATGAAGAGAACTTAAATTTACGCTAATTAAGCTAAGGTAGGAGTAAGTGCTTTTGCCAAGCACGATGAGAGACGAATGAAAGAGTTACCTATTGTATTTATTTATAAAAAAATATTCGATTTTAGAAGCTAGACACAGCCAAATCACATTCAAGTTGAATATATGACCTTAGCGGAAAATTTATTTTGATGGTATGTTGTTGCGGTTATATCTCTAAATGTCTTAGTTGTACATATGTTTATATAAAATTTAGTATATTAAAGCTTAAGTTTTTGGATTGTAAGCCTGAATGTTCTCTTCTCTATTTTAAGAATTTATTTTGAAACTTCCTGCTCTGAATGGCTTAAGTTATATTTATGTGTAAGTATGCGAAATTAAGCATACAAAACGTAAGTATCCGTCCGTACTATATTAACAGCTATTCTAGCAACGCACCAATTCCAGCTGCATTAACTTAGTTTACCGTTAAGCTTAAAGATAAATGATCTTTATGCACAACTGCTAAGTGCTACACATCAACTGGCAGGCCAGAGAGACGCAAACGCTTATTTTAGACACGATTCTACTCGATGAGGAAGAAGAAGAAGCACTTCATAGAAAACCGTTAATGCAATATGTGTGTATTCATAGCTTGTGCGTGATGGAAAATTTTTAGTGCGTAGAAAATAAGAAAATATTTTATTTACAATATTTTTTCATATTAATATACATACATTAGAGTACAGAGTATATATAAATAAGAGAGCTAGACCATGAAAGTTTTTAATTAAACCATACAACGAGATATTTAAAGAAATTAGAACCTAAGCTTTACCTACAATCAGGCGCCTACCAAATATATTTACCCAAGCTTCGCACTTGCTAAACGATCAGCAGAGGTTCTCATTAAAGCTGGTATACTGAAAATTAAAAGCAAAGTTTCAAGTAAGAAATGTACTCCATGGGTGTATCTCGACAAGAAGTGAACAAGATATTTTCCTTAAAAATTACAAACGTTCTAACGAAAGTTCAACGAAATCGAACCATAAATAGTTTTAGTTTTAAAAAAGATCAATATCTAGTTCACTTCTCGTCGAGAAAATAATTCAGTAAATAAGTCCAACGATTTATTGAACAGGTCGATCACTGATGCACTTCCCTAAAGAAAAATTGAGTGTTGATATTAAGTTAGATGTGATTTTTTCAGAAAGGTCCCTAATCTACTTCCCAGAATTTTTTTCTCATAAACTTTCTTGGATACTATAAAAACCAGCTGACTAAATTTGAGAATAATCTGCTGGGTAGTTACGGAGATCCTAGAACACAAACTTCATTTCTATATAAATTATTGTTACTGGCAGCTGTTCTAGGCAAGTATTTTTTAAGGAAAATTATGGCTACTTCTAAAAATTTATTAAACTCTCCGGGGCTGCTTGAACCCATAAGTTACTTTATTGTTAAGAAACAGCATAAAAAAGATGCCTAAAATCGGAGGAGTAATTCAGCTTGATATACCGATATCATTTGGACCAATTTTAAGGCTTTCGAGGTTAATTTAAGTGATATAATTTTTTTATAGCTACAGCTATTATGTTGTGAAAATATGATATATGTATATAAAGTGTGGTAACTCAACCAGTCGATTCTGTTTAATACATCTGCATAAGTTCTAATGCATATTTATGCAAAAATAATTATATGAAGCAAATAATTAAAATTAATTACCGTCTTAATTTGAACACTATTAAAAAAATGTATAAATAAATATTTAAATAAGTAATTTAAAATAAAAATATCTGTGTACTAATGTTAATATAAATAAAAGTTCGCGTGTTCACATATATATATATGTGTAAATATACATAAGTATACTCGTATATGCCTGCTTATACTTATATTTAGTGATGAATAAGCATTTGAGTTACACTTTGAAATGCATGCAATCTCAAGTTGTCTGCTAGCTAACGAGCATTTGTTTTTAATTTTCCAGCACAACACGAACGATATTGTCTAATAAACGCTATTAAACCTACAATATATATAATATACTGTATATATGTATGCAAGTTTATCTAGCGTGTCATTGTGGCTACTTTGAGCGACGCAACGCGTCTGATTAAGGTGTGTTCTGTGCTTCACAGCTACGTGTGTTGACCAATAAAATGAAAAATAAAAGCTTAATTTGAAAATTAAATATTTTTGTACACAAAATAGTATTCATTAAGTTCAGGGCAGAAAGTGAAAACCAACTGTAGTAAAGAGTAGCGCAAAAGAACATTTCTCACTACATAAATATGAAATTTCAGACTATTTTCGTAAAATGAAGCTAAATTTTACATTTACAAACCTACATAAGCTACTTCCCTTGGTATACCTTGAGGAGCCCACCTACCGATTACAAAAGTCTACTGAGCGTGACCTTAATTTGCTTTTGATATGCGCGCCAGCGTGAAGACTGCGTTAAGTAAAACCTCAGAAAATATTCAGATAGCACTCAAATAAATATATAAAAGAGCATACATACGTACTCCATATGCATGAGTTCTAACGCATTCGCTTAATATGCATGCACATGTATATCCAAATTGTTGTTGTGTGACAGTGTTTAAGGCAAACACCTTTTCTTGTAAGCGCGCAGGCGGCTTAGACCAGTCCAACCCAACCCAAGCAACCTGAGCAAACGAAATTAACCTATTTTATGGGTTCGTTGAATACAAATATTTCAGTTACTAGCACAACATTTTATCCAGTCAAGGAGAGAGAGAGAGAGAAAAAGAGAGCAGTGTGCACGTGTGTTTGACGGTCCATCTATTAGTGCTTTGTTTATATGTATATGGATAACACTTTATCGCATTTGCTTGTAAATTGTCAACTTATCAAATGTAGCAAATGACCTAAACACAATTTTGGTTGAACTAAACTGGGTCAGCCGGCCGAATTTCGATTTTCGATTTTGTGCTAAACAGGTTTGGTTTCTGTGCATTCGATACATACACACTGACATAATTGTCCATAAAGGGCAGCCATCGACAATGTAAATAAACAATAGAAAATTCAATTGCTTTTTAATTAAAGAAATAAATAAAATCAATGAAATTTGGAGGCTATAAATATTATATAAATATAAATATAATATTATATTATATAGTAATGCTTACTTTCTATTTAATTTTAATAATCTTATTCAATTTCTTCTAATTCAAGATTATTTTATGTATTTCAATTATTTTATTATATATTTTTATTTCTCTTTTATTTTATTTTATTTTATTGTATTTTATTGTATTTTATTTTATTTTATTTTATTTTATTATATTTTATTTTATTTTATATTTTTGATTTCGTTTTAATTTTTTATTTTATTTTTTTTCTTTCATTTTCTCTCCTTTTCTTTTTTTTTAATTTTCTTAACTTTTATTTTCTTTCGCCTTTCTTTGTTTCCTAAAATTTTAGTTTCTTTCTATTTCTCTTCTTTTATTTTATTTTCCTTTATTTTCCCATGTTTTCGTCTCTTTTCTTTTATATTATTTTCTTTTCTTTCTTCCCTTTCCTTTTTAATTTAATTTTAATTTATTTCACTTCGTTTTGCTTTGGTATAATTTATTTTTTTATAATTGATTATATTTTATTTTATATTGTTTTATTTTATTGTATTTTATTATATTTTATTTATACTGTTTAAAATTATTTATTTTATTTCATTTTATATAGTTTAAATGATTTGATTTAATTTTGCTTTATTTCATTTTATTTTAATTAATTTTATTTTATTTTATTTAAATTTATTTTTTTTATTTTACATTATTTTACTTTATTTAAATCTATTTTATTTTATTTTATTTTATTTTCT